GTTGAGTACTTTTTATGCCCATGTTTCGGATATTTTAAATGAATATTTTTGCTATCGAAAGCTATTACGGTAGCCGTCATTTAACGCTGTAAATATTCTCTACAGCAATACATCGAACGATATTTGTCAAAATAGTATCTGGGACAAATATGCGGGTGAATTTAACTGATCTTAAAAATGGGTGATGACAAAGTGATGCTTCTTTCGAAAAGCGTTTTTTTTTTTTTTTTTTTTTTTCATATTTAAAGCAATACGTGCACAGAAATATAAAATGGGCTTTTTTTTTTGAGGCAGCGGGCATTTTTAATCTCTTTTCCTCGGTCGATTTGCAGAATACGTTGAAGTCTCGTTACTTGCTCGGTTATTAACGTAAGAATTAGTGATAATTTTTCGTCACTAAATAATTCAGGTTTCAATATGCGACTAAGAGAGGATATCGTCTTTCTGCTTGTGCGCAATATTCTAAAACACGGAAGACAACGGATTTATGTTCAGCTAACTTGGTGGTATATCGGCAATATGTCTACTTTTTGTATTCGCCTCCTATATATCGGTCCGATATTGTTAAGCGGTGTAGCGGTTCATAAGACGGTAATTTCACTGAATATTTTTCTGGGCTTACCTTCAAAAAATTAAACCTTGCAAATCCGGATTGTGGTTCGGAGTTTGTATTGAAGAACGACGGGAGCGTTCTTTTAACAGCAATTTCTTGCCGGAAACATTTTCCAGTCTATCTTCATGTAAGTGAGCGTAATCTCCTACATGTGACTTCACTTCGTTGGTATACATATATATTGACTTGTCGAGAAAGTATGGACCATTTTAAAGCCAAAACTGAAGCACATAGTTTTTTTCTATGTTATCACTAAACTAAATATGCCCCATTTTGACGTTCTGTTATTCTTCTAATAACACTATGATATCATCGCTATAGAACTTGCGCGGCCTCTGAGCGGAAAATTGTGATAAACGGATGTTAATGTGCCGGAAAACTTCTCATACAAGTTCTTGGTAGATAAAAATATACGTTGTTTGGCATTGTTATGATGAAACGCTTCTAGACAGGAGAGGTCCGAATTAACCGTTTTGCCAGCCAGCAGCAACGACTTATAACACACAATTCCTTTCTAGTCATATCAAACACATTGAACCACCTTCGTTGACGCCAGTGTGCGTTTTGCCATTTGCCGTCGTTAGGAAGCACTTCTTTTTTTATTTACACAATATTGTTGTATATGATCAATTTTCCTTCAACCCTAATAAACCGCTTTATAAGTGGCATCTTCGGGTGATTGCGTCGTTGAGTTTCGCGGCTGGAAATACGATTAAGTAAATCCCGAGCTTTTTTTTTTTTTATTCAAATAGCATAAAACAATTTGGTGCTAGATGTATAGTTTCTTGTCGATATTATGGCCAGCTGAATGTCGCTCTTGTTTAACTTTCGCAATAAGTTTATTAACTTTTTTCGTGGTTGCTCGGCCATTTAGAGCATTTTTCATTCATACTGGAATTATACATTTTGATCATAAACAGCGCACATTTTTTTTTATATGCCTGGGCAGCCTTCGTGTCTTTATCGCAACAAAATTGTAATATGCAGCGAACTTTTACAGGAATTTCTAGCAGCTCCATCTCATGTTTAACAATTTTAGCACATTTACTATTGTCGAATCTCATCTTTGAGATGACACCAATGTGATTCATGTTAACTGCAATATGTGACGTGAAACACATTTAATTTAATATATGCGCTTAATGGTTGAGAATCAGCGCTTTAAAAACATAAATTAAGCTGTTTCTAGGACAGGAAAAACGTTTAAATATATCTAGTGAATTGGTCTTATGTAATGTCCCAGCGTTATGCTCTAATAAAATTTTATCTGTGGTCTGGCGTAGGTTTTGCATTGGGTGATTCTGGTCCACAGCCGTAAATTGAAATACAAATATATACAAATACGCGAGCGTTCTAAACCAGCCGGCATCGACACAATTTTATTATCCTTTATAGGTTATTTTCAGTTTGATATTGCTTTTGGAGTCAACTAACCGTAAGTGTAAGGCTGTGCTGGAAATCAAGGGTGGCGTCGATCGAGTATACGGGTTTAGAACCACTTGATGTCAATGTGCTCGACCTTCGGTGTAACCCCAGTATGGCAATCGAGAAGCTATCTCAGACCCGACACAAGTGTGGCAAAATGTCGCAAACAACTATAAAGCTACACGCATCGGATGCTCAGCTTCCGCGCACCGCCGTATACTTCCAACAGCGCCCTTAGCGTACCTTTTGAACGTCAAAATTTCTGCTTGAATGAAGCAGTGGTCCTGGTGGTTCAATAGCTTACTGTTATTAAATCTAAAGTCTAAATTCTGTAAAGTATATACACCGGGATACGCTGCTCCTTTAGATTTGGCTGTCTGAATATTCCTAGCTTGCAGTTCGTGTTGCCAGTTGGATACTTATTTCAGATTAAGAATTACGACTATTTGAATCCTCCATATGGATTAACTCAAATAAAATGGAAAATTTTGTATTTTAGGTGCCACTAGCGTTCGAACATCAGAAACGTTGCTTGCAATATTTATTAAATATTTGAATAGATTTTACAAAGTGATGGAGATAAAACATTCTTGCAAAGCTCGAACGTTCGTTTGAAACGCTTACGATTTGAATCAAGAAATCTAACAGCTCACCAATATATACTCCATGTTTAAACTCAAATTATAAATTATTATTATCATCATTACAAAAAAACGTATCCCCATAGCTCCAGTATGTTTTTCCGGAGGCACAACAAAGCGTAACTGTTTATTAAGCGAATAGCATTAAATCGCTAATATAAATAAAATCCTTTACGTCGTCACCATCATCGTCGTTTTTTTACCTTTTTCTGTCCCCACCATTTCATTCGTTCCTATGTATATGGGCAAAAATACCCATTCTTGAATCAATAGTTGCCAAATAAGTCTTTTCTAGCCAATTTTCATGAAAGCAATCGAGCACTTTCTTTAGGGTAACTTTGGTTAACATACGTATGCACAGAATATTGAAAAACATAGTCTGCTAAAGTTAATGACAGTAAAACGCAGCTATGGGATCACTAAAACATGGGCAACTTGCCGCTGTGATTGTTGATGTGAAAATCTAATTTTCGTCTCTAAACAAATAATGATAGTCATTTATCTATAACATACATTGCCTCAAGGAACCTTCTACTTTAAAATACGTTCACGGTTATTTTTACCGAAACGATGAGATTCAGTGGAAGAAGTGACTCAATCATGTTTACCTAAAGTGGTTGCTGCTGTTGTTGTTGTTGTTGTTGTTGTTGTTGTCTAATTGTTGTTTTCCTAAGAAGGCCAACGTCGAGTACAAGTCCTCAGCAGTAGCGCCGGTGACAACTGCCAACAATTAAATCTTGTTGTTGGCCAATTCGTTCATACAATATCACTAATAATTCAAACATATAGCAATACGATTTAGAATCAACTCGTATGATATATAAACTTTAACGAAACAGGCTTGATATTCGTAAAATTTATCCTGCGAAACGAAACCCTCTAGTTCCTATTAGTCTCGAATTGTCCTTATTACAAACGGCTGCAGCTATTGCCGAAGGTAGTTTATTAATTGGCCTTTCAGGTCGTTGTTAGCTGAACGCAGTTGGCTGGTCTTATACGGCACTCCAGAGCGCCCGATTATGATTATTAAAAAATTTCACTTAGATCTCACGATCGCTACGACTATTGCTGAAATCAGTTTAACTAGGCAAACTTCACTTTACAAAATCGTTTGTTTGTTTGTTTGTTTGTTTATAGAATAGTTTATTTTTCGGCTATTTTTTGAGTTCATTTTTATTGTTTAGAAGACCCATATTTACGTCCTTTGCATTAACACACACAGGGAGGAGAATAGCCAGGACGAAGCTTCTGAGCGTGAGTCGTGTGACCTTAAAACACACTTCTGGAGAGTCTAGGGCACTTATTTGGTTACAACACTGTCTTTAAACTTTCCGCAAACAAGATTCTTTTTTGTGCAGTGAGCTAGCGTTAAGCGTCGATGCTGAGATAGCAAAATGCCTTTCAAGATGATTGACCGTAGCACACACGCTCCGCAATAAAACCTCTCATTTCTTCACTCAATTACGTGCCGAACCCGCTTGTTATCGCGAACTTGGGTAGCAATAGACGCGCACATGCCGCAGTAGCCAACCCACTGGTTATTTTATTATGTGAGTAACCAAGATTTGTAAGACCGCGCTAGAATAACATGCAACCGTTTTCAAAAATTACATATTGCAGTGCCTTATATTCAACTAATAAGCTTCAGTGTAATAATACTCATATTGTCTCACCGTTTTTTTTTGCTTGGAAAATTTTGTACGACCTCGATAGCTGTGCGTACTGTCTTTAGTACAACTAGGCCTGGAATGCTCTGCTGTATTTCAGTATATATCGTTTCTAATATTTACTCTATGTTGCGTCCTACTTTTCGATTCACATAGCTATTCTGTGGTGGCTAAAGGAATTCAATCCTGACTGCAAGTTAAGTAGACTGAAATGTGGAAAAATGTTGAAAAAAGAGCTACCTTCAACATATATACATATCTATAATAAAACACCAAAGTTAAGACGTATCTGTACTGACGTTTCTGTAATACATTCATTTAGATTCAATCACCTCCTATGATTTAAGGCCAGTAAGTTGATTTATCTGATATTCCAGTGATTGTACCTACCTCATATGCGAATCACTAACGTATTTTATTGACTACTACCAGAGAAAAAGACGCTAAAGAAAAAGCAAAATCACAATTTACCTTCACCTTCAGTACTTTTTTTTATTCACTGCAGAGGCAGCACGAGGTGTAACCGCTCGCTTAATAATTAATTAAATACAATCCATTGAATCACAATAAATCGCGGGTATTAAATCTTCCCGGTCGTCACTTAAACATTATCGCCATCTGTTTATCCTCAGCATCATCATTTTTTTTGTTATCTTCACTTCCTTAATCCGCCAGTCGTCGCTTCATTATTGTATTTAACTCCATCTGGTGTCATTATTTTTCTTCCGCCATCAGCGAATAAACGTCGAGCATTCTTCGAGTTTTTATGATTTTTTCATCCCCACTAGAATGTTTATTTGTGTGCCTCTATTATAATGGTTTTTCCCTTGTTCGCTTAAGTCTTCGATCAATTATCTTTCTCTCCCTCTGTGCACTTTGTTCTCCTTCACTATATCTGTGTATATATATTTGTGTGTCATTGCTGTTCTTAATGTTGTTGTCTGTTTATTGTTCATAATTGATTTATTATTGTTGCATGAAGGTGTACTAGCTGTTCCTTGTAATCGTCCGTGTTTCTAAGAGAGCGACTTTTTCCATGGTTGGCGGCATCTCTAGATAATCCCCACCCAGCTTTATTTCGAAACGTTTTCCCATTATTTTCACTTACCGTTTTTGCTGCTCATTTTTTCCTGCTCCATCTGTTGCTGTTGCTGTTGCTGTTGCTTATTGGTTCGCATATTGTTGCGTCACTAACGCATGTATGTTCTACGCAGTGTACTCTTAGTATAATTAGTCTGTTGTCATCGTGTTTCCCATGTTTTTTGTTTTAGCTTCATTGTAATAATGTTTTGTGCTATCGCTCTTTTCTTTTCTTAGTTTTTTTTTTATATAAAAACACAAAAATAAACGGAACCTTCGCCGAGCTGCGTGACCTGCGCGACTTATCATGCACTCCCATGTCCATTTCTGCCTCATGCTTCCATCTATAAATTTTTCCACCTGCAATCATTTTCTTGCTTTCAACTGTCTCGTTTTCCTTTCTGTCGTTCTCACACACAGTTATTGTTCTCCATGTAGTTATCATTATGAAGATTATCATTAATTATTTATGTTATTACTACTATTGTAGTTGTCGCTTGCGTGTTTATCTGTCATAACCGTTTTAATACGACAGTTATTGCCGCATCAAAGCGCTAGAACATTATTAGTGATTATTAGTTTTTTTCTCTCCATATTCAGTATGAGGCCGTTTCCGTCCTTTACTAACTCTATATTAGCTGTACGCTATCTTCACGATCTTCCCATTTTTGCTTTCCTTTAGAATGGTAAGTTATACAACAGTGTTACATCAGCATCATCTTACTAATATAGTAAAATAATATCCATCATCGCAGTATTATGAATCAACAGCCGTCCTAGATGTCTTCTCGTTTTTATCATTTTAAATTGTCGTGTTTTTATTAGTTCATCATCATTATTATTATTATTGTTATCTATCTATCCATAAATTCATTTGCTCGCGCGTCGCGTACCGACTTTCTCCCTGTACTAATGTCAAATATTTCTCAAAATGTGTTCGCTTAAGGTTGTATGCGCTCTAGTGTGTGTGTATATGTGTGTGTGACGTCTATATAGTTGATTTGATCTGTTCTTTAGTTCGTATCCTTTGTTATTATCGGTTGAACAATCCATCCATCGTTCAATCAGTCAATCAGACAAACCGTCATACAAATCGGTCAATCAGTCCATTAATGAATTTATCGATTATCATCATTACCACCACTGTCATTATCAAGTGATCGAACGTCATCGAGGTCGCGAGCCGGCTCCGGTTAACCTCCACTTCACTTCAAGCGTGCTTCGTCTTCGTCTTGCAAACGCCCACCAGCCCACCCATACGCTTTCCTGCTTCCTGACCCTTCGAAGCCCAGCGGTGGTTTTTGTTACCTTCGTTATAATAATAATCATCGTAATACAAAGATAATAAAAGAATAGCAACAAACAAACGTCTACCTTCTTCGCAGTTCTTCGCACTTGTCGATGCAACACTGCCATAATGAAGTTCTTTCCGCCATCTTTGTCTGTCCGCCCCACGAATCATTATATCCTTGCCCTGATCACATTTCGTCCACTATTTTTTTGTTGTTGTTGTTGTTCGCCCTCGCTATTGTCCTCGTTCACAAGTAGAATTGGTTTTTTTTTCGACGTATTTCTCATCTCTTACGAGCTTCACCCTCTTCGCCTTTTTCGCTTTTACATCTAGCACAATACCTTCCTCGATGTGTCGGTCATCACCATTCTCTCCGCACTGGCTATTGTTTTTTTTAGCGGTAATCAACTCCGTCAGGACAATCAGTTACGGTTTACTTAATTCAAACAGCTTACTTCGTTCATTCTTCTGCCTAAGCCGTACAATTGTGCTTAACATCATCTGTATCCTATCCCAAAACTGTATTAGAATCCTTACTCACAGTATTCCCATACATCATTTCCGGTCTAAAGAACTTCTTTTACTCCCTCTTTCTCGCGTATATATATATATATATATATATATATGTATGTATATATATATATGTATGTATATATATATATGTATATATATATATATATATGGTTGTTGTTAATATTAATATCATTGTTGTTATTATTCATCGCGATAATCATATTCTCATTCCTGTTTCCATCATTATTATCGTCTATCTATATAGCGTGCTGATAATAATTATCATAATGTTCAATGTGTCACCAGTATCCTTTCTCATTGGTATTTTCGTGTAATGTCATAATATAATAAAACGCTCCGGTCTACAGTGTTCTCTTCAGCAACACGAACGAGCCGCTCAAGTAATTTCAGCTATCGATTCGAACCGCCGCGGAGGTGGAACGGCAAAAGACGAAGCAACAGACAGGTATCATCCAGGCAACGTTCGTATTTTTCATTACATTTTCTAATAGTTGGTAACTTAAAAATCGAGATCCCCAGCAAAAGTACAAAAAAAAAAAAACAAAAAAGACAAAACGCACATTGAATGGCTAGATTGAACAATACAAAAAATCGACTGCTTTGAAAATTCCCGAATTCGCCAGAACACATACCTCCTCAAATAGACCATACCGGTTTGAGATATGGATTCGATTCATTCCGGCTCTGAGTTCATGCAACAATAAGCTAATGTTGAATTATAATCATCATAATGCCTGCTTACAATGGCTGCTGCTTCCTTCCTTCATTTCGTCACCTCAGAATTCAACTACGATTCGTGGTCACCATTCATCCATAATTATTTGCGATTGTGACACTTCCTCGCCACGCAGCGCTTAAGGCCACATGTAAGGTGCCACATTGGGTTATGTGGGAGACCGACGTGCCTGAAGGTTTACAGTTTCATAGGTGGTTTCAGCTTCCTATCAGTTGCCTTTTCGTGTTGTTTTCGCTAAAAAGTCTCTACTTACATTTAGAATTTATCCCATACTCTTCCGTGCGTTTCGCTTTCACTGTTCCCAGTACCGCCTCGTTTTTTTCCGTTTTTAAACAACTCCCACATTGCCGTGCCCTTTGTTGATCCATCCGCTGTTGTATTTATATATCTACTATTACACACATATATATATATGTGTATACGCACGTCCGAGCGCGTCGAACTCATCGTCTCCGCGTGCACGTACCTGGATTCGACACTGTTTCTACGTCCTGCTATCAGATTTGTTTGTATTTGCATTGTTATTACTAATAGATCGGCATTGTTTGTTATATATAGCTATGTATATATAATAGCTAATATGTACCATCATTATTATAATTAGGAATTATAATAATAACAGCGCCCGGAGCAGCTGATAGTAATGTTTTGTCGTTATATTCACGCGTCGTCGTCGTCGTCGTCGTCGTGATTATTATTAGCCTGCATTCGTAATGACATTCGGTGCTGCCGTTTGTTGTCTACCGCTGTTCGGTCCGTTTCGCCGGGATGTGCAGTGTTATCTGTGTGCGTCCAATTGTTCAATGGCCACCCAACATCTGCGGGTGAGATGGGGGGCGGGGGGCGGGGGGCAAACAGCTAAAGTATCCGATGGAAAGACGCGCAGCAATGGCTATCGAATACGCACCTTAATGAATACGCATTGTCCCATGTTCCGGCAGGACATCATGGAGAAAGAAAGGAAAAAGCACGCAATTGTTGCATTGGTTTCAATCTTTCCCTATTTTGTTTGGGCGTCGCGTTTCTTTTCAACCAAGGCGCTCAATTCTATGATGGATTAGATAAACTAATGGCGCATTTCTGTCCATACAAACTCCCGCGCCCCAGACAGGATTACTGGATGAAAAGGGACGATCGCTGTCAAACAGCCGAATGACATGTCAAAATCGTATTTAGACATCTTTGACGGAGTTGACTGCATCCGTACTAGATCGGCGTAAGCTTTGAACATGAGACAAGCAAAGGGCGTGGCGGACCCCACCCCACGAAGAAAATATTTTTATCGAATCCTTTACTAATTTGTCGTTTTTAGCTGGCCCTCGACGCCTTATATCCCGACACCTATACTAGCACAGTTAAGCGTTAGTTGCTGCGCTTGTTTCGTGTTGCATTGTTGAACACAACATCAATTCGATCACATACGTTCAAAGCGACCAACAGCAAGAGACAGTCGTCGGGAGCATCTCTATCATCAAGAACGGTTCGCCGAGCTTGTCAAGATGCTCGTCAAGCATCGATCGAGGCCTGGGATAGAGTAACGTAGGATCTAGTTTTGCTACAACAAGCATAGGTGTCTCCATTCGAATGTGTTTCAAAGTGTGTGCCTGAGAGTTGGTGAACATCAAACAAACCACGCCGTGCGAGGTTCGTCTCGATGTTGACGAGGTAGAACGCGCAACGACGTTGTCACGGTAACGGCCGCTGAGAGAGACTCTACTGGCCGTTAATCGTAAATCCTTACGGCGTTAGGACGCACGCATCTATAGCCATTCATGCCATTTATGCCGGTATACAGTACGCATTAACACGTCAAATCATTGTGGCTACACACACATCTATACAAGCGCATGCGCACAAGAAGTAGTTGTTATTGAACGTAAAAAGAACACACTCGAAATAAACGCGTTTTTGTAACCCGTTTGTCACCTGCAATTCCACAACAAACAGAACCTACTGTAGCATACACACGGATAAGAAGTACCATACAACACTTTTTATGGGCATATATAAATTGTATTGATTTAATATAAATCCGAATTGGATACGGGATCTGTAATTAATGGTTTCATTCATGAAAGCTGCATTGTACAATTCGCTTCCGATCGTTTACAGTCAGCAGGCTCGTTATATTAAATATAGCGCTATTGTTTAAATCATATCAAATCCAATCTGATTTTAATTACCAAGACTACACTTGTACATGCCGAAAGGCAGGAAGAACTTACCCAGCAGCAGATACAAGCGGATTAACGCCATCTTCTTTCAGTTTCGTCTTATATAGAGAATCAGCTTGTTTGTGACTTGTTAAATTTTGGTCATAACCGATTATAACCATCATCGTATCTCTAGCTGTTCAGAACTGTCGCCCCGAATTGGCCCCACCTCCGCCAAATGGGAAGCCTGACCGACTGTGTTCTCTTTGTTGATCGCGATTACCATGATGATGGTAATGATGATCCCGATCGATACGGTCTCGGTCCATCCGATCGCCCCGGTCTGGCCTGTCCCGTTCCGCTCGATCGCGATCCCGATCTCGGTCTCGGTCCCGATCTCGGTTGTCCCTCCGTCGGAAGTTGCTAAACGAGTCCCGATTGTTGTCCCGGTTATCTCGATTTTCTCGACCGTCCCTGCTATCTCGGCTGTTGTTGCTGCTACCGAAACCTCCTCCCCGGTTATCTCGCATGTCACCTCGGCTATCGCCTCTAACGTCCCTATCCCTGTTAGTCGAATCGCGCGAGGTGTTGAAACCGAACGCTCCACGATGGCCCCCGCCGCCACGGCCATCCCGATTATCCCGACTGTCCCGATAGTCTCTGTGGATACAAAGCGTGACGCGCAGAGGGAAAACGAAATAAGTATGTGTATTATTTTAAATTGTATTGCATACCCAGCTATTCTCTCTCGTCATGTTTAAGGGAGAGCTTTTGTAACATGATTGTTCAGATGGTTCTGCTTTGTATAACGGAGTGCATCGGTTGATTGTTTGTTCATGTAGCCCGTGAAGCTTTTGAGACTTTGTTGCGTCTGTTTACCGATGATACGCGCTACTGCCTCCGTCTCGGCCGCCGAAGTCGCGGTTGTTAGGGTTCGTATGATCCCGGTGATTGTGGTGACCGTTGTGGTCTCTATAGTCGTCGTGGTGCATTGTCGGCGGCACTCGTTCGCGATCGCGGAACACTCCTCGACTACTCCCTCCACCGGTTCCCGATCGGTCTCGGCCCTGTGAACTGTGATGGCTGTTGTTTTGCCTCCGTTCATCCTCGATTTTCTGCTGCTTCGTTTCGTAGTGCATGAAGTCATCAAAAAGTGATGTTTTGTGTCTGAAAAACAGAAGACGAGGCAACACCAACACAATTTTTTCTTAGTAGTTTCATCAGGTGTACTACTTGCTTGAATTCGCTAAACTAGGTCAAAAAAACGTCAGTGCCACAATCTGTGCGGCCTGGGATAGGAGTACGTGCACCTACTAGTTCCACTACTTACCCTATCGATAACTAACCTTAGTCTTTCAGCGAACAGCCTTAACGGGCTTTCAATGTTCACCTTCAAGCATTAACAATTTCAATAGCACGCTTTCGCGAACAACTCTGAGAGTTGAACCATTAGTTGCACAAAGTGTTGAACTGAACCAATGTGCTTATGTGTGGTAACCATGACCTTTCCCGAAGAACACGGAAGAGCTGTCTTATAGCAGCTTTTTTAATATGATCAACATACCTGAAGTTAGTAAGGATCTTGAGCATAAGTCGTCCCTTTGCCTCTGGAACCTCCTGAGTGTCCCGCGAATTCGTTACTGGTTTACCGTCATTGTTCTCAAGCACAATGTGCCGAAATTCATGGTTTGGGATATCTTTTACAAAGATCCATTTTACGTTAAATTTTCCTATGAATTATACAAAAACAAAAAATGGCGTTCAGGTATTTGTTTTAATTATGACTCTCAGGTTATATTTTGGTAAGTTAGTAACTCTTAGTTACACTGCAAGCATAGTTGGCAGTTCTCTATCATTTAACTATTCCTTAACATAACCAGGTACCTTTCCACTTGTCTTGCGCCCAAACGCCCGTCGACGTATTGTAGTCAACTGTTGAAGTCATCTGAGCCATTCCGCAAAAATGCCCTGATCCATTGACAGAATAGAAGAGATAAATAGGCCTGTTTCCGTTTCGGCTTTGTTGCTCTCGATAAGCAATGTCTAACTTCTTATTACCGCGTTCTGTCGAACACCAGATCGAATATTTAATGCTGCGATGCACGTCGTCTTCAGAGTAGCTCTTAATCACGAAGAAGCGGGCACCCTCGGATCGGAAGTCGAAGTACGACGGATTGTAGTTGTTCTTACGAATAAGCTCTTCAAGCAGAGGGTAGGTCTCCACTGACGTTTCTGTCGTGTGTTCCATGTCTTCCCTGCTATCTCTGATATTCTCTCGGTCCCCATCAGTGATGTTGGGTCGGATTCCAGTTCGCCTTTCGGCGATGACCGGCCTATTGCACACGACGGGAGAATTTCTGTCAACTGGATCATCAACGACTTCAAGGTCTTGAGGTGGCGGTGAGGCGCTCCAGTCCTTCGTGGTGGTCTCTGCACTCCAGTCCCACGTTGAGATACTGAGTGACGCCGTCGCGGTTTGGCTCAATGTTGTACCTGCGTCATCATCGGCCTCCGGTGATGCTTCTTTGTCTGAGGCAGAGCTTCGCGTTACGGTGATAGATATTTCCCTGTTCTCATCCGGCACGCTGCTTACTTGAGCAGAGCTTGTTTGATGACCTGGGCCCAGCTTCAACGGAGGCTGCGAGTCCATATTCGCCCATGACACGCGGCCTCCATCATCAGCGTGTCCTTCCCCTTGGCTGTCATCAGTTCCAATATCTCTCCTTAAACCATCACCTTCGCCCGGGCCCAGACCGCCTCCTTCGTTTGCTTTCAGCGTAGAGTCGTGCGTTGATTGTGCTCTGTGATGAACAGATAATACAAAAAAACGACTATTGTTAAAAAGACTATTGTTGTTGCTGTTCAAGGCTGAAACATTATGCAACGTAAAGGAAGTTCTATGTTCAGCATATATGACTATTCTCTGTCACCCACACTTTTAGCGCCGTCATATACACGACAAGTGGTTCATATTGAGCAAAGTAAGTATTTTCAATTCATAATAGAAGCCCTCAGTTTCCTTGCCAATAATACGTGGTATGAAAAAACATATTTAGCAAAGAAAAATGCAGAACATAGGCTTAATACCCTACCGAATTTTTTCAAAGCATAACCCACAAATCGGCTTGTTTTTCATAGCACACGTGTTGCTGGTAAAGTAACACAATCGAACGAATCAGCCCACTGTAGCATCAGTACTGACCCGTTATTTTGTTGCTGTATGAGTGCGTCACTTCTAACGGCGTCGGCTGGGGCAGTTTCATCGACACAATTGTTGGGATCAACTGTGTTTCCATTGGCAATATTTCCATGAGCTGCCGTTGCACCACAACTGCTGCCGCCCCCGCTATTCGCATTGTTTCGATTGTGTTCGTCGTTTTGTTGCTGCTGCTGCTGCTGCTGCTGCTCGTCACGTTTTCCTTTTGCAACCACAGCCTCTGCGTTGCTGTGGTCATCCGAGACTTCGTGGGCAGCGGGCTGGCCGGTTGCCACCTGTGGGTGGGGGTTTGTGCTGCTGCTGTTGTTACTGGTACCGCTAACGTTGCTGTCGACTGGGTCCTTCACACTAATACCACCGCCCTCATGATCCCCAAGGGCGGCCGCCAACTGGCCCGTTCCCATTGTTGTTGTCGTCTGCGCTACTGCACTAGAACCCGAGGAAGCCATTACTTCGGCTACACCAACGGCCGTTCCAGCTTCCTTCGAGGTGAGCGGCAAACCAGCGGTAGTTGCTGATGCCGTAGTTGTTGCCATCGTCGATGACGCTGGAGCCGCGATCGACAAACCGGCAAGCTGACATTCAAGGCCCTTTAGGCCACCCATGGCTGCGGCCTTATCGCCCGCACCGGCGACACCATTCATGGCCATGGCTGCTGCTGGCGCCATTAAGTCATATCTAGAAATTCGGTGAAAAGTACGTATCATACAATTGAGTGCGATGTAGAAAGATAATCAGTCGTTGGAATAGAGGAATAACCTTGGAATATAATAGTAAGGACTGAAGCAATGAATTTAATTGATACAGGGATTATTAGGATATCACAAAAATTATTAGGCAAACGGAGAGCAGTAAAACGTCAGGATAAAATAGGAAACAATATATAAAGTTTAACACGGTCAAAATCGTCATCATCATTATAGTCGTCGGTTTTGTAGGCTATTGCACTCACCTGTAATAGTCGCCGTAGGCCGCTTTCGCATGCTGCTGTTGTTGTTGTGCCGTGGTCGGAGTTCCATGGTGTGGTGTTGTTCGACTGTCAGGTGCCATCATTTCGTGTCCCCCAGCATTCCACACATATTCCTGCATACCCGGTGCAGGCGAGTGAGCTCCAGCAGCTGCAAATGGGTAACCAAAGCCTCCTGGGGGGCCATACGCTGCATGGGCGTGCTGTGGATAGGCCCCATTGCTGACAGGGCCAAAGAGCCCTGCGGCAGCCACTCCTGCGACTGCGGGATCAGACGCTACCCCTGTCAGTGATGCTGCCTGATGAGCCACAAGTGATCCCATCGATCCGATTGAGGTGATGGTAGGAAGCGAACCAAGCTGTGATGTCGGATGACCAGGGTGATGAGGCGCCAGGTGGGCGGCAGTCGCATGGTGCCCTCCGTGGTGGTACTCCGCTGCTGATGGTGGATGAGTATAACCGTAAAAAGGTGGCGCTACGTCACCACCCCCCGCGCCGCCACCCCAACCGCCGGCTCCGCCTGCCAACGCATCACCACTGCCGTATGGTGTACCGTACGGTGATACCTAGGAAATATGCACGAAAATACAGGAAACAGATAACGAAAAACGATGATGTAAATATTGGTGTACTGATGTTTCGTAAACAAACTCGTAAGCAGAAGGAGAAAGGAAGCACGGAAACAAATGGCCGTATTCTTCGTTCCGTATCCAACAGCTGTTGAGCCAGTACGTAGCGATATTGTTCTATCATAGTCGAAGTACATAACACTCGAGCAGAGAATTTACATATATGAATATTTTCAATCATCACGTTATTTCAGTTAACGCGGAAGCATGCTTTATAGTATTGATCGAAATGCCCTGGCTCACATCACTATAACATGCGTCATTTATACGTGTTCATCATTTAAAACGTAATTTTTCATACCGAAGGATGGTAGTAGGCAGCAGCTGCCGCGGCCGCAGCGGCGGCCGCAGGATTCATAAACTGTTGCCCCTGTTGGTCCAGTGGCGACAATGGCGACAGCGGCGCAGGATGCTGTGACGGATGCGAGTGAGCCGGATTCGGTGCAAACACACCGCCACCACCACCGACAGCTGCTGCTGCCGCAGCTGCAGCCGCCGCAGTATGACGGCCGTGGGCGCCGTGCGCTGATGGGGGTATCTGGGGGGCGGCGGCGGCCATCCTGGACCACGCCTCCATCATGTGCTGCTGTGGATGCTGTTGCTGTTGCGCGGCTGCTGCCGCTTGTGCCTGTACTTGCTGCACCTGCTGCTGTTGCTGTGCAGCGCTCATGTCGATTTTCGGCGGGGCTCCATGTCCGCCCCCGTGTCCGCCATGAGCAGAATGTGAGCCACCCCCAGTCGACATCAGCCTCGAGTGTGGTGGCCCATTGCCAAGATGCTCCATGGAATCGTGAGGGCCGCCATGATGTTGGATTCCGCCACCGTGACCATTACCGTAACCTCCCATATGATGGTGTTGTTGTTGCCGCTGGTGGTGGTGATGCTGTTGCTGTTGAGGATGTTGTTGTGATGATGACCCCCCATGATGGTGGTGATGATGATGGTGTCCGATCCCATTGCTCAGTTGTGGTTGTGAGGGTCCATTATTGTTGTTATTACTGTTGTTGTTGCTGCCGTTGTTGTTGTGGTTCGTCGTCTGCTTGTTGTTATTGTTGTTGCTGTTACTATTGTTGTGATTTGTCGTTGTTTGCGCGTTCGCGCTCGTCGCTGTCGTCTGCTGCTGCTGCTGATTCTGGTGTTTCCTCTGCTCAACGGCACTTGCACCGCCGCTCGCACTGCTCCCGGTCCCGTTATTAACTGCACTGCCGCTATTGTTTTGGTTGCCTCCACTGCTACCGCTGCTGCTGCTGCTGTGCACTGCTGCATGTCCCCCCGCGCCAGCTGTGGCTAAAATGCGAAAAAATCGACAACAACAAAGAAACGTTACGAAATATCAGTCGGCGTTCGTTCTATTATATATATACAGAATAAGTACTGAGGAGAAAGTTCTTCGCACCCTGAACTAAAATCATTTCTCCCCTTATAAGTGACGGATGTTAGTAAAAGGAAAAAAAAGCAATGATGACTTGCACTAACGGAGAAGAGTAATTCGATAACTGTTTGAATATATGGGAAGTTATTATTATTTCTAGTTTTCGTAGCGTCTGTATGCGTAGGTGTGATTGACAAGCGAAATAAATCACTGTTTGCGACCATCGGAAAAGGTCAACCATTGAGTCTTATAAATTTGTTACGTGTGGGTTTACATCTTTCATTTGTTTTCCAGTGTGACTATTATTTTATCGGTGACCATGATTTCTGTGCGCTATGTGAGATAAATATGGCCGTAAATCGAAAGCAAGCATCACAGATTATTGCGAATTTTTGAATTTGTTCTTCTTTTTTCTCGCCCTTCCCAAACCTTATCCAGTGCTGTCCATTAAGTTGCGATCACATCGCGTTGCTCGATAGGACGACGATTTGCACTCCCAGCTGACGCATTACTCGGCAATTAAACAGGATTGCACAAACAAGCGAATAGCAGCATATAGGTTACGATCTGGGTGAATTGCCGGGCTTTAACAACCACTCAGAGCAGATGTAGCATGCTATGGGTGCAATGGATACAATTAACCTGCACTCTACATGAACAGAGTCCCCCTCCCTGACATTGTTTGTAAACTACTGGCATTAGATGGTCAGGAGTATCGCTACAAACAGCAGGTTAAGGCACGTATCTGGCTTCGCGTTCTACTACCCCTTAGTTGCTTCGACAGTACTAGCGGCAGTGGACAAGTGGCACCCAAGCGTGCAGCAAATTACCCTACCTTCAATCCTAGAGAGGACGGAGGACCGGATCTCGCTAATCGCACTCCAGTTAACCCCAGTACGCTAGTTTCCCAGGCGTGACCTCATAGCCAAATGGGCAACAGACAGTCTATAGCATTATACAGGATTGTGTGCCCTGTGGTTTTTGCAGCCGCTGCGACTACCAGCATTGTTACACAGGTTAACAGCACCACCCGCCGAACGGCGCAAACAACAAACGAGCGTAACGATGGCGTAACGAGTCAGTCAGTCCACCGATAAAATCTGCCAATACACAACATGGCTAGACAAACGTCATTCTGCTACCGCTTAGTGATATACACGTGCAGTAGCATACATATGCACACTACTGAAGGTCTTGACTGGCTCACTATATATATATATATATATATCATGCATATATAGCTATGAACCAGCCAAGACCCTCAGTAACTAAGCTGTAGCAAAAAAAAATCACCGCAATAAGTGAGAATCAAGAAATTAAGTTATAACTCTGGCATTGGACTACTGTTGCTGGATAACTTTGTTCAGTTTTACACGACTCCGTGATCAATTTGGGTCACGGATTAAAGCTGTAATCGAAATGAGCAGAGGTTGTATAAAATAAACATGACCCTCAGGATTGCCACTGCACATGTAGAAATAGTTGTTGAAACGTGTGTTTTTGCTTTTAAAGTCGCAATCCAGACGAAACATTTCATATATGAATATGACCTGAATTACAGCAAGATAAATCACCGCAGCCAGTAAAAACAATTTGGTAGATTTATAAAAACTAACAGATTAAGTTACTTTATAGTAATTGTATTCCAAATATTGACTGTGAATGAGCTCTGCTTAGAACTGGAAAATGCATATCTGTAGAAAAAACGTCCTAAAGGTATGCGAAAAGCAACATGCTTTTCAGGTTATGTCGGTAGTTTAGCTCATTTACGCAATAAATAATATTTTATCTTGATTAGGTGGTACAGAGTAAGAGAAAACGTACACCAACGCGGTATAAATACAAGCTTGACAGAAATGTATTCGCTCTATAATACTGAACACAATATCCACTGATAGATACTAACAGAACCCAATAAAAACTTCAACATTTTTTTCGTCTTCGTTGCCGCAGCTTATTCAACACATATAATTCAACGCCCACTCTATTGCACAGCATATAACTCGAGTTGCTTAGAGTGCCAGTTTGTCAATGGTAACATCGTATGAAGTGTGTCTTCAATAAACTTGCTTCTTCGAAGCCGCTTTTTACAGGCAGTGTTGATTTCTAATGCGTTACGTGTCTCAACAAGGTATTTCAATGTATTTCGGCCTCAAATTATTCACGAGAAGGACAAGTTTCCTGTACTCGTGCGACCCTCGCCTTCTGCACCTGATCATTCTCAAGTATCGCTAACAATCATAAGGCCAATTTTTTTCGGGGTTTTCCTTTAGAAGCTTCCTGAGCTCGGAAATAAAGGAGACAACATTCATTTTGTCCTGACGTGCGGTGGTCACAATACGATACTACATATATTAATTAAAATATAGTATCTGGAATAGTCCTCAATACAAGATATGCAATAAACCTGGTTTTTTTTTTGTAATTTCGTAATTGTCAATCTATTAAGCTGCGACTACCCGATACAAGAATGAACACGAGTGATAACAATCATGGAGCAGTAAGTAGATTAGAAAAGTAAGCAGTAAGTAGAAAAAAATTAAAGCTGGCTAAGACAAACGCTTGACATTTGGTGCGACGAAAACTGGCCAGCTGATCTAAATTTGAAGTGCACAAGGTACAAGTTACTAGAAGTTAAATCCAGTTTAGAAGGTGTCACAACAGCCAACTCATGACAAACATACTAGCTATACCTGCACATTAAAATACACTCATACCTCTCGTCCCACACGACTTGAGCTCGATAGGATACTGCAATAAAACAAGGATAGAACAACCTGTCCACTAACAAAGGATCTTGTGAGTCTGTGCGTTGCCTACTATTTGTTACGCAATTTGCCGAAATAGAAAAATTGTTGGAGTACCACTTGCTCTGCTCACATGCCTGCTGGTACACCTTTTCAGTAACCGATTGCTTGTACCGATAAAGGATATGTGCATTTCACACATTATGAATTTCGAAGCTCATATATAGATTATTAGTTCTCAGTTGACATTCGCCCAGTGCCTAGGTTTTTTAAATAGTAAGTTATAGATAGAAAGGTAAATATCAACCCAATGACGCAAGTCATATTGCGACAGTACGTACAGGTTTGTACTACAGTATTTTGTCGTTTATGAACTTATTTTTTAAGTATACGAAGATGCTGAACGTTAAGCAGATAATGCTTATAACGCTTTCTCTCCATCATGAGAAGCGCAACGCTGTGGGTACGTTTCCGTTCTCTTTTTCAATGACATGCTGAGTACTAAGCCCGATCTCATATAGTAGAGCATTCGTTCAGAAAGCAAATCTACGCTTTGCTTAGAAACGAAATTCGTGTTTGAGTATGTGTAGATGTTTTAATATAGCCTAACATGCCGCAACGGCACCGGTGTAGCATTGTTATTTCTGGGTTTGCGATGGCCTTTAACTTATTCACAAGGCTTATCTTAATTTTAATACTGATGGCAACTTTTTCGCCTTGTTTCCCAGTACGAACTACTCGCCAACAGCAGCGCCAATTTTCGAAAGTGACCAGCGCAGTCACTTCGGATGTTTATTTAACTAATAACGTGTTCTACGAGGCGCGTGCATGAAGCAATATTCTCTGTCGAAAGGCTGAACCGATTAGCGCCTCAGTTTAGGGTTACTGCTAATACCGTATGAAGCAGTTTTTTCATAGCCGCTAATGCCAGGAGAAGGAATACATATTTTTTTTTTTTATAACCAAGGTGCAAAACCTACATTTCTAAACCACTCCGTCGAGAAAACGTCAAGACAGGACGTTAGAAGTCCCACGGGTCTACGCGCCTACGCGCCTTGGACTGGCTTCTCAGCATTGGAATTTCTGCTCGGGGTAACAAACGTAGACATTCGAAATAGGCGTCTTACGTCAAATTTTCATCAATGGCCCCTTTGGTAAAAGGGACGAAAAGTTCAGCACACATGAAGAAGGACTGGATGGTGAGTTGGAATCGAAACTATTTTGTATTTGAAAAACCTTTTTTGTTGTAGTTATCCGAAAGAAGAAAGCTGTTTAATTCCCTGTCCTGCGAAAACGCTGAACTTGCACAACAGGTTAATGTATTTTTATGATAACTTATTTTTTCACCCATTATGGAAGGAAAAAAACATGCTGTCTAATAGCTTACGCCTAGAAATGGACATACACGATTTACCGTAAAACAAATTATTATCGACCGTTTTTCTTTGTAAATGACCTGATTTTTTTTTGACTTATCTGTGAGACAAATCAGTTTGCTGACGAGAGTTCATCGGTCCGAATGAAATAGCGTAATTAGTACTATACTCAGGACCTCTTTAATCAATATATTAGCAAATTAATATTGGAATTTATTGCTGTCCTCTACGATTCAATTTATGTCTGCCGTAGTAGGTTCCGTCAGAAGATAGCACGTAGGTAAGAAGACTTCAACTATAAAAGCCTAGGTGTCACCATTACCATTTGCCCCTCACCTTCACGTGACTATAATATGTAACAACTGAAACGTTACAGGCATAGCTGTCGTATTAATGAAAACAGTTAAACAATGGAAAAGCCTGAATTGTTTTGTACTAAAGTATGATGTTGTTTGAACTTATAAAACCTACTATTCTAAATACGCCAGTGGCTTCAGACACGTTCGCAAGAAATCGAGGCAAACTGGCGTGTTGTTACGCTTAGAAGCTTGTAACACCAACTTCTTTCATACCACAGATAGTTCATATTCCTCATGCCATGATTTTCTAATTACTGAGATACACCTTTAGTGTGTAATTAAGAAATTTGCTATTTCTGGTGTTGAAGTTAGGTTGAAATTGACGTAGATTTGAAGTGCTGATTCTAGTTTGTAGTATGTGCTGCTGAATCGCTTCTCATCCTAACACACCTTTAGTAGACGCTATCGGGACAAATGTGGCTGAGTTTACAGT